TTTGAGTTAGAGAAGTGAGATGACAACTTGCTATTTGAATCCTTCTGCTTCACATAACTTTTGAACCTGAGGTAGTTTTCCATATTCCTTGCATCATGTCCTAGTTTTGATATCAGCATCACAAACTCTGTGATCTAGCTCCTTAGGCTTGAATGCTAGCACTGTAATTAATAGGAACTATGATTTTGCTTCAAGAAAATCCTTTCTCTCTAAGGTGATCCTGATATTCAAGACTGTCCATCTTCCTGTGGATGCAGAATTCTTGCTGGATGGCAAACTCAAGTGAGGTTGAGAAGAGCAATGCAAAAGCAGTGCATTAGGATCTATTTCCAAACATCCAGCATCCTTTTTCTACAGTGGCGTGTCATCTCTGGTATTCCTTTATCTTCTGCTTCTTTTCCTATCTGCTATATTAGTTTTGTTAAATGTTCCTTAAATTTTATGTGGCAACAATAATAACTTGTTAGGCAATTTCTATCATAGGAGGTGATATAATACCTCTGCTATTTCTGTCATGGCTGTCTTCTCTGTTAATAGATACTTAATAGAGAACAACTGGGCATGTGCTTATTGGGAATTTCCTGTGTGCTGAATAGTGAATTAAGCACTAGGGGAGAGGCACAAGATACCGTAGCTGTCTTTAAGGAACTTCAAATACAGTTGGGGAGACATGAGTAGAACCCAACCCAAGCAGACAACATCAGGTATAGGGTTGTCTGGAGTCACGATACAAGGTCAAAGAACAACACAATCAAGAGTCCAAAGTACTTGGGGGTCACCTTGTGGAGAAGTTTCATTCAAGCTTTGACAGGGTGATAAATTTGGAAGGTGCTGAAAAGTCAGAACTGAGCCACAACCAGAGGGAACAGACACAGAAAATGGAACTGGGAGGGAAGTACATGGGATCCCCAGGCACTGTGTCTATGGAAGAGGAAAGACTGCATTGAAGAGCAATGTGAAAGTCATGGGATGTGTAGGAAAATTAAAAAACAACATAGCCAGTAGACATATTCTACATTTGTAGTTGCTTCCCCAGGCATCTCTTAGACTCAAATGGTGAAAACTAATATCACTTGGCATCAAATTAGAAAATGTTGACCGCTGAAGGCAATATCTCTCAGATAGCAAAGGGATATATGAAATAGATCACCTGTGGAAATTCCCTACTATAGAATGAAAACTGGCTACAACTCCTATGATTTTAGTCTAGAAGAGGAGGGAAATCTGGAGATGAAAAGAAGATGTCTGAGCTCAGCTGCCCTAGGAATGTCCACAAGAGCAAGGTTGTGGGTGTTTCCCTGTTTCCCTTCTTAACCACCACAGAGCAGGGCTTCATGGTGTCTTGATGAGAATTTAATATGAGATCCATAAGTTTTGGGGTGCTGGTGAGCAGAGGACTGGTATCTGAAGCTCTAAACACCAGGAGACAAGCTAGTGAGCAGTTTATAACAGCAAAGCAAGGTGCTGACTAGGCACTAGCCTGTTTCCCCAGTTTGCTAGAGAATTCCCTGTTGGACAGATGTGTGCCGTGGAAGTGAGGGAGCAGGCATAAGGCTGTGTAGATTCAAACCCATAAGGTGATAGAGGCGATATAGCAAATTAAAACTGAAGGCATGGCTGGGGGCTGTGGACATGGGAAGTTATTCAGTGAAACAGTATGATTCACATCCAAGATGGTCCAGTGAGGGGAGAAAAGTGTCTGCTGTTTGGAATCAGCCTTAAATACGAACACGTGCTCAGATTAGTAACAGTGCCCTTCCTTACCCATCTAGCTCTTCTTACTCCACCTTTTCTCTTTTTTTTTCTACTCCCATATCCCAGAAACTCTAGGATTAAAGGTTAACTGGTTCAAAAACTCTGGGGTTAAAAACAGGACTAACATGCTTTTCATTGACTTTATAGCTGATCCTAGCTATGAAGAAAGGCAAGTCAGACTTTAGATCAACTTTTTATATGTAGCTCAGTATTCTAACTTTTAAATTAAGAATGCAGTGGGTGACAAAAGGTAAGGCATCAGGATAAAAAAAAGCAGTTATAATAAAGTAAAAACAAAACAAAACAAAACAAAACAATGAATAACTGTAAACCAGAAGCATTTTATGGGAGGTGGAGTGGGCAATAGGATCAAAAGTGGGGTGGGAAGAGTGAACGGAACTATGGTGATGGGAAATCCATGGGGATCACAACTGAGATGAAAAAATGCACAAAATGAAGAATGATGTAAAATAAATAAATAAATACTGAATGATTAGAGCACTTGGGAGGTCTAATTCTTATTGGGGGAAGATGGTGCATCCATTTTCTAGACCACAATAACAAACTGCCACAAACTGGGTGACTTAGATAAGAGAAAATTTTTCTTCCACAATTCTGGAGACTCAAGTATAAATGAAGACTGACAGGTACATGCTCTCTCTGAAAGCTCTAGGGCAGAATCTGATGAATGACTTTTTTTTTTGGCTTCTGGGGTTGCCAACAATCTCTGTAATTCCTTGGCTTGTAGGAGCTTCTCTCTGATCTCTGCCTCCCTCATGCATGTCTGTTTCCCTCAGTGTTATTGTCTCCCCATGGCATTCTCCTTGTTGTGTCTCATCTTGTAAGGCTGTCAGTGGAATAAGGACTCTCCTACTCTAACTTTGCTCTCATCTTAACTTATGCCTTAATTACCTATAGAAAGATTCCATTTCCAAATATGGCCACCATACAGGAGTTAGGGAGGGGTTTCAGCATACCTTTGGGGGGAAATAATTCAATCCACAGAAGTTGTGCAGATGTTGGCTTGCTTGACTCCTGCACCATAGAGACTCTTGCTACCTTGTCAGTTTCTAACTAGATCTTCTGTATTCTTCAAATGTACAGCATGAGCTTTAGGATCTAAAACAGTGTTTTCAGCCTATCTCTCTTAGGGATGTTACTACTGGAAATACATTTCTATATTTTGTCAGTTTCCTCCCAGTGTCTCTCTTCTTTCACATCATCAGAGCATTTGTAACAGAGGTTGAGAAGCACAACAGCACTGGAATCAGCACCATGTTGGTTCTTCTCCATGGACTTCTGGTTCTTCATGTGTGTTCCCCAGTTCCCTGGAAAGCCATATTCCTATTTCCTGTGAGATCTAGTTGTTCAGAGTTCCTCTCCTGTGTGAAGATTTCTTACACCAAAGAGCACTGTCAGCCAGTAAGCTGCAGTTCAGAGGCTTTGACTGATATATATTTTTTAAGATTGTATTTTTTAAGATTGTTTTGTTTTAAATCTCCCTCTCCTAAGATCATGCTCAGTGAAGTAAGTCAGAAATAAAAAGAAAAATCCTGGATGGTTTCACTCATAGCAGGAGTGTAAGGGAACAGGGAAAAAATACATATATAGTAATTGTAATGAAGTAAAAATGAACATCAACTAACAACTATAAACCAGAGCCTTTCTAGTGGCGGGGTGGGGGTGGGGTGGAGAGGAACAGGATCAAAGCTGGGGCAGGAAGAGCCCATGGGACTATGGTGATGGCACAGGGGTGAAGTGGTGGTGGGAAGTCCATGGGGATTACAGTTGAGATGAAAAATGTACAAAATGAGGAATGATGTAAAAAATATATAAAATAAAATAATAAAATAAATCCCCTTTCCTGACTACAGGGTATTCTTTTGATACTTTCCACTGCTTCAACATACCAGGTATTGTTTCCTGTCAGTATCTCCACCAATGACTTGAAATATTGTCTCCACACATGTTTGCTCCATGAGTCTCACTTTTTTTGTGTCCCTTCGGGTTTGTTGTGGCTTCTTTAAAGCCCAGACCCTGGCTTGCAGAGGGCTCCCCAGGAATTTTCTGAAAGGGGCTGAATATTCCCAGAAACAGACGAGGGCCAGTTTCTTTACGTGAGCCTTGAAGTATATCACAATTTCTTGGAGGGCTCTTTATAATACAATCCTCTGCAAAATCAAGGGAAGCCTCTACGGTGGAGTGATAGCTTACTCCTCTTGAAATGCTGTACAGTCTCTCCCAATGACCCACGCAAAGGCTAAAAATGACTACTTCCTTTGTCATCTCAGAGTCTAATGAATAGATAAACAAATTTGGTCACTTCTTATCTGATATGTCAGGCCATGTGGTCATTTAGAACAATGATTTTCATTGGGGTAGCAAGATTTTTTATAAAGGGAGAATCATAATGATAGTAATAATAATGTTTATAATTATATCAACTAACATTCATTAGTTCTATGTCCTTTGTGTTTACCTCATCTATTTATCATAGCTCTATAGAGTAAGAGTAGGGAGATTTATTAGTCACATATTAAAGATGAAAAGTGAAGTCTTACAGAGTTTAATTTACTTACTCAAATTCACATAGCCAGTAAGATGTGGTCACATTCTTGTAATAACTGTGATTGATCAGTTGATCAATGTTGCATTTAACCATTAACATTTCTTCAGCCAAGAACTCTTTTTAGGGGTAAATTTAAAATTCTTATCTGTCTCTATGGCAGTTCTTTCTGGAAAGCTGTTGCTTAGACTCGAATCTCTTATACTCTAGTCTGAACATTCAGATAATGATGCAATAAAATCTTTTATGGGATACTCCTCAAGATTGTTATATGCTAAGGGAGGGAATAAGATATATTTTCATAACTTTTGACTTCTATAAAATACTTTCCTCTTTGCTGTGGCATAGAAAAGCTTTGAAATTGCATCTCATAAGGAGGGCATTTTGCAATTATTTACAGAGTCATCCCACAATATCTCATTTTATCATTTTTGCGGAAAGACAGAATAGAAAAACATCCAAAATTTCATGAATATTTTAAAATCCTTACTCACTGGGGGAGGGCAGAAAGTAGTTTAGATAATTGCAAATTCCATTTTAGTCAGTTGTATTCCAAGTAAATATTCAGCCCAACATGGCTTACTTCTTATCTTTTGAAATGATGAAAGCTAATGATTTTCCTGGCTATAGTCCTAATCTTGTTCCATGTGAGAAAGAGAGAGAAACATAGGAAAGTGGGCTGAGACCTGCTGCAGGCTCCCCTTTTCTCAGCTGCATGGGTGAGGGTAACTTTGGGAGAATTATTTGGTGTTTAAAGAAATTGGTTCTCAAGGAAGCTGCTGAATGCAGCTGAATATTTGTTAAATGATTTTTTTTTTGTCTGACCTTTGTTGCTAACAAATCTTCAAGAAGTATTTAAAGGGTAAAAAGTGGCCCTCCCTGGTGGCGCAGCGGGTTAAAGCACAGCACTGAGAAGCTAAAGCCACTTCTGCATGAGTTCAATTCCCGCCTGCCCTGGAGGTGACCACATGGCGTGGCAGACCTCTCCTGACCCGCCCGCTGCTCCCCTCAGCAGTGGACTTCATCGATCTACCTGTTCTGCTCCCCGCTCTGTCTCTGGTGAAGCCTCTCACCGCCCCTGAGCCTCTGGCCTGTACCCCAGTTCTGTATGAACAAATAAATAAATCTTTAAAAAAAAATAAAGGGTAAAAAGGAAGGTTGTTTTTACTAATCTTTTATCTCTTTGCCTACAGAACCCAAAGAAATGGTGTTACCTGGCAGAAGATTTGCTGTTTTTTACGAAAAAACAGACCAAGGTAATGTTTATTTTAAACTGCTTTTGTTTTAGGATATTTAACTCTGACACATTTTCTATGATCAACTGGTTTTAGCTACTGCATAAACCAGCCAAAATAAGTAAATTGGTATCTGCAAAGTAAAGGAATGAGCTGTGTGTGAACACTACATTCTGAAATGTACAGAAGCTTATCCAGAATTGTAGTTAATGGTTTATTTCCTGACATTCTACTTTTTCATTTATGTTAATATGAATCTTGACTGGGAGATTGCATTGTCTTTGTTTGGAAATAATTCCAATTAGTAAATCAGATTTACAAATGATAGACAATAAGAGAATTAGCTTCTTGCCTGGGTACCAAAATGAGATTTAAGCATTAGACAGATGGCTTTGCATATTATTTTTTGAATATGCAAACAAATTCAGTACAAATCTTAGAAAACCACCAAGTTTTATGAAGATACCCTCATAAGAAACCACATTTTTTTTTTGAGGGGGGAAGATTGAATTATATCATACTGTTTTGAATAGCAGAACTGATGATGCTTGCATATTTAGTTACTAAATTCTCAAATTGCTATCGATTTATATACATATATTAGGCTAAGACTAAGAACACTCAAGTGAGTATTCTAATGACATATAGTTGCAAACAGTGCAAGGAAAGATGCAGATCTGGCATACATGGATGCTTACTGAAACTATCACCTCAGAAGAGCTTTTTAATGGAAAAGTTTCTGAAAAGTTAGAATTGTGAGGGGTCAGACTCATTTATCAATACTATCCACTTAGTTTTGATCATACGATGTATATATAGTGACATCATATGTGTGTGTGTGTATATATATATATACACACACATATGCACACAATAGATGTATTGAAATGTGTAATAGGCTGCATATAAATTATGACTGATTGTGCTTTATTTTTGACAACTTGTTTAATTCCTAGTAACACATAGTGCTAAAACAAAGGTAGCATTTAATTTTAATGGACATCTGCAGAAAACTTGTTTCTGAACTTTAATGTGCATTTGAACAAAAATAGCTGGTTGATTTACAAACTAGAGTGTTCTACTTATTTCTGACTTTCAGTTAACTCTTCAAAAGTGGGGCAATCCTTTAAGAAAAATAGCTTCTCTCCTCTATAGGGGATTTTGAATTATAGGCACTTTGTTCAGGTCTTATTTGTCCAAATACTTTGCCTCAATAACAAAGTATCTTTCAGTATTAATGACATTATTTAAGAGTTGCCATTGCCTGGAAATATTAACTGACTCCCCAAAGAGAAACATTATAGTGAGGAGTGGATGCTGTGGAAGAGGTTAAAACTGAACTGTGTGATATGATAGTGGTATTGGGAGGTAAATGGTAGAAAAGTGTTGAGCGGAAATCCATGTCTGATGTCAGTAAAGAGAGAAAGGAACACTGAATGAGATGGAACCAATGAAGAAGGTCGAGGATCCTTTGGATTCAAAGTGAAGGCTAAAAAGTAAAAGGAATGTAGGATGCTTTCCTGTGAAGTTTTCTGTTCTTCAGAGGTGTGATAAACTTCCTGAGAGATTATTATTATCTGGGATGTGTGCCTTTGTGTGCAGTTGCTAGTGGGCAGGGAAGGGGTGACTGGGTTGGGAAAAATGGCAGCGTTCATGGCATCATCTGTGAAGTTGACCTTTGGATTCTTTGTAGTAGGAATGTTTGCAAAATCCTGTTAATAACACAAAGAGTGCAAGTGTCGTAATGTTCTGTTCCTATTATCTCAGCCGGTATATAAGTACTTGCATTTCTTTGTAAGGACTGGTGAAAGTGCTATTTTTAGACAAAAGGAGCTTTGGGCATTTCCTCAGTGGCACACGGTGACTAATGTGCTCGTTTGTGTAGGACTGTTTTTGGCAGTGAGCTCCCCAGGCAGTCTCTTGGATGAACAGGCATTTTTGTGCATGCAGATACCTGACAGTTCTACATCTGAATCTTTTTAGGGGTATTTAAATAACTCTTTATGTAGCATTTTATTATGTGATGCTATGTCTCTCTGTTAGTCACAATACTCATAATTTTGTCATTCAAAGAGAGAGACAACTTCAAGTTGTCAGGTCATAATATTCTGTATGCCTAGTAAGAATATATTTAAAAATGGAGACAGATATTCTATTCTACTTTATATGGGGTTATTTGTCCTGGAAATAGACTGAGTTTCAATTAAGAAAACTTTATGTCTGTAATTTATTTTTGTTATATAGGAATATTAAGTATTATTCTTAGATATATTTAACTTTTTTCTGAAGGAAATTAAGGATTCAGCAATTTTTTGATATATTCTAGGTTGAAATGTAGGTTTAGTATAAACACCGTTATGGGAATTGAAGATAAAAAGGTGTCACTAGTTTAGTTTATGGTGTTTCTGATATTCAAGAGCACTAAGAGATATTATAAATATACTTTTTGGAAATTCTTGTTTTATTGTAGTTTATTATTATTGACTACAGAATACTTAGTATATTCACATGTTGAGATTTATTTTAAGATTTATTTATTTATGCATACAGAACTGGGTACAGGCCAGAGGTGCCGGGGTGGTGAGAGGATTTACCAGAGACAAAGTGGGGAGCAGAACAGGTAGGTGGACGAAGCACACTGCTGAGGGAAGCAGTGGGTGGGTCAGGAGAGGTCTGCCACGCCATGTGGTCACCTCCGGGGCAGGTGGGGATCGAACTCACGTGGAAGTGGTTTAAGCTTCTTTGTGCTGTGCTTTAACCCGCTGCGCCACTAGGGAGGGCCTACATGTTGAAGTTTTTAAAGGAGAAAAATAATTCTTGAATTTTAAGAATTTGCCATTAATTATATTTTGTAGTATTTATTAAAATACCTACTATGAAGTAACAATGGAAAGTAAAGCCTCCTATCTGGAGGTTGGTTAGTATGATAATAATTATGGATTTAAGTGAGCTAGAAATAAATCTACTCAGCAAAACCAGTCAAACTGCAAAAAAGAAGATGTATCTGGTCTGAGGTTAAGGGGGTTGGGAGGGAAGGGTCAATAGTCACAAGGGGTGAGTGGGTGTGGGGGGGTTAGGTTTAGAAAGATGTGGGAGAATAGCAAAAATGAGCCCATGAGACATAAATGACATTGCTTAAAAACTACTGGTGTGTGATGAAAGTTGTGATGTAATTGTCACAATACCCAAAATGGATTTCAAATATATTATATTGCAGAACTTTGAAGAAATAGCTATAAGATTAGGCAAAGCCTGCTTCCAAAGAATACTCATGCTGTGAGAGAATAAATCACTGAACATTTTCACAGAGAAGTGGTTAAAAGTAATTCCTAAAGAGGACTTTACATGTGAAAGCTCGAATATGGTAATTTTAAAGAATTTGACTCTTTAGATTTTTGTCATTTTCAAAATTTCATGGTATTCTTCACTCTCTTGAGTTTTACATTCTGTGAGCTGTTCCATCTTTTCAACATTTTTAAAAAGTTCACAAGACTAATAAGCCATGGCATTGCCTAGACTGGCTCCTCCTAGTTCATTTTCTTCTATTGATTCTCCACTTATATTTCTTACCTTATTTGTTTCTTTCTTACTCCACTCTACACCCTAAATATTCTTGTTTTTCCTTATGCTGAAAATTCTGCTCTGAATGCCTGATCTTATTCCTTCCTATTCCCAAACCTATATAATCTTAAATTTTTTTTTAAGAACACATCAGAATTTCTCATTGCAAATTACTTTTCTACCTTAACACGTTTCATTTAGTAAAGTCACCTAATTGCAGGGGATGTCCTACTGTCACTGATTTGCATATTTGCCCCCTAATAGTTATCATGTGTGCTGTCGATATGGTGTGCATATACACATATATATACATATCACAGATATGTAAGATATATGGCACACATATAAATATGTATGTGTAATTTTGTTTCATTATGTATAAGGATATACACACAAATACATGGAATTTTTTTTTTTCATTAATATGATTTCAAAGAAAAATTCTTTCTTTCTGTCATTTACTTTTCTTCCCACTTACGAATGAAGCAGAGGTAGTTTGTATGAATGAGCTCCTTGCAGCTCTAGGATTTCCATTGAAGGGATATTTAAAAGACTAGAAGATACTTTTGTTACTAAGAGAGTTAGAATTTAGCTATGCTTTGTATTAATTAACAGTACCTTGACTACCTACTCTCCTTTTATGACATCTTTTCAATGAGAATAGAATTGGAATTCAAATATACTAGTTGTAGGTGAATAATTTTCAGCCATGGAAACACACTCTCTTCCCCAAGGGACACTTGCTTAATTTAATCACCATTGTCTTGGTGCCACTATGCATGTGATGGAAGAAAGATCTAACCTGAGCTAGCTAGTCCTGTTACCTAAGAGCAAAGTGCTGCCTTATGAGGACACCATTGAATATCAGAGTCAATAGAAGAAAAAGTTATAATATGCCACTTCACACATTTATTCATTTAGCAATTCAGTGTTTATCTGTTTACCTTCTAAATTCATAATTTCTCTGGCTAGTGTTGGGATACATGCAAAACTTAAGAGTCTTAAGAGTCTTTTACTTGTTCTATACACACACACACTTTTTATAGATGTATTTTGTAGCTGATAGAGGCTAAAAATTACACCCCTCTGTGAACTACAAAATATGCCCCTTTCCATGCTTGTGGTAGTTGCCTCTGTGCTTCTTTTCCACATCACTTTTAATTTCTCCCATAGTCTTTTGAATACCATCATTTATGTGGATGGTTTGTAAAGCCATACTTATTAGCATTCCTGATAAGGTATTTCTGAGTTTTCAAAAACTGTTGACTACTATGTTTAAGAATTTTGTGGCCATTTGGAATATGCATGTACACTTGTGGATGTGTGGTCTGGAAGAAACATCCCCCACTCTAAAGCAGCAGTGCCAACCTAAGACGTGAAGGTGGGATGGGCGTGGCTGATTGGAAGTTGAGTGAAATTATGTCTATTGGGAATGGGGCAAGGCCTTTGGGAATTGGGAT